GTTATATATTTAATTCTTTCTGAGAGATGTGACCATCTCTGAGTATTTTTTAAACAAATTCATACAAATGTAATTAATAAGACAGAAAACTAATTTTTAACTTGCAGATCAAATATACTGTACTTACTTTCTAGGGACTCCCTTCAAAGTACAATATCTAGGAAACAGAAATTCCTAGATGGCTAAACTTAGTACCCTATTTCCTTAGCTCTTAGGCCTATCTCAACTTGCCCAGTCTATTTCCAGTCCCTTATTACTGCCACTGTGCCAATGCATCTCCATAGTGTTCTTCCTCTTTATCGACGATAATCCATTTTCCCAAGAATAAGGTCCTTCTATAGGGACCGGTTCCTCATAAATACATGTCCAAAGTACGAGACATAAAGCTTTGCCATCCTCGCTTCTAAGGATTCTGGCTGTACTTCTTCCAAGACAGATTTGTTTGTTCTTCAGGCAGTTCATGTTGTTGTTGTTGTTAGGTTCCATTGAGTTGGTTCAGACCCATAGTGACTCTATGTACAACAGAACGAAACACTGCCTGGTCCTACACCAACCTCACAATCGTTGCTATGCTTTAACCTATTGCTACTGCCACTGTGCCGGTCCATCTCATTGGGGGTCTTGCTCTTTTTCTTTGACTCTCCACTTTACCAAGCATTATGTCCTTCTCTAGGGACTGGTTCCTCCTGATAATATGTCCGAAGTAAGAGAGATGAAGTGTGGACATCTTGGCTTTAAAGGAGCATTCTGGCTGTACTTATTCCAACACAGATTGGTTTGTACTTCTGGCAGTCCATATAGTACTTTTAATATTTTCCTCCAACACCATAAACTATGAATGATCAGTTCTTCTATGGTCTTCTTTATTCACTGTCCATCTTTCACATGCATGTGAAGTTATTGAAAATATGGTTTGGGTCAGATGTAACACTTTAAAGAGGTTGGTTTTCTTTCTTTCTTTCTTTCTTTCTTTCTTTCTTTCTTTCTTTCTCTCTCTCTCTCTCTGTCTCTCTCTCTCTCTCTCTCTCTCTCTTCTTTCTCTTTTCTTTCTTTCCTTTTTTTTACAGCAGATTCACCTAATGCAATGCATCATATTGGTTTCTTGACTGCTGCTTCCATGAGTGGTGATTGTGGATACTAGCAAAATGGAGTCTTCAAAACTTTCTCTTTTCTCCATGTTATTTATTAGTCCAATTGTGAGAATTTTTGTTTTCTTTACATTGAGGTACAATCCATATTGAAGGATGTAATTTTTTATCATCATCAGTAAGTATTTTAAGTCTTCCTCAAATCCTGATGCCACATTCTTTTTATAATCCAGTATTTCAGATTATAAAAAGTATGAGAGACAAAGTGTGACCATCTTGGCTTATAAGAAGCATTCTAGCTGTACTTTTTCTAACCCCGTATTAGTTTGTTCTTCTGGCATTCCATGATTCTTTTAATACTCTCCTTCAACACCATAACTTGAATGATCAGTTCTTCTTTTGTCTTCTTTATTCGCTATCCAACTTTCTGACATTCAAATCTGACTTGAATGTCTGGCAGTTCCCTGTCATTGTACTGCTGTAACCATTTCTGAATAATTTTCAGCAAAATTTTACTTTTTTGTGATATTAATGATATTGTTTGATGGTTTCTGCATTCTGTTGGGTCACCTTTCTTTGGAAGGGGCACAGATATGGATCTTTTCCAGTAGGATGGCCAGGTAGATGTCTTCCGTATTTCTTGTCATGGATGAGTGAGTGCCTCCAATGCTGCATCAGTTTGTTGAAACACTTCAATTTGTATTCCTTCAATTTCTGGAGAATTGCTTTTTGCCAATGCCTTCAGGACAGCTTGGACTTCTTCCTTCAGTACCATTGGTTCTGGATCATATGGTACCTCTTGAAATGCTTGAACACTGGCCAATTTCTTTTGGTACAGTGGCTCTTTATATTCTTTCCGTATTTTTTTAAAGCTTCCAGCATCATTCAGTCTTTTGCCCATAGAATCCTTCAATACTGCAACCTGAGGTTTAAATTTGTTCTCCAGTTCTTTTACTTGAGAAATACTGAGTATGTTCTTCCCTTTTAATTTTCTAACTCCATGTCTTTGCTCATTTTTTTATAATACTTACTTTGTCTTCTTAAGGTTCCCTTTTAAATTTTTTGTTCAATTCTTTCGTTCATCTTTTCTTCCAGTCGCTTTAGCTTCTTCTGATATGCATTTTGGACTTTTCTTTGTTTCCTGTCTTTTTAATGACCTTTTGCTTTCCTTATATATAATGCTCTTTATGTCATCCCACAATTATTCTGGTTGCCAATTATTAGTGTTTAATATATCAAATTTGCTCTTGAGATGGTCTCTAAATTCAGATGAGATATATTCAGGTCATAGTTTGGCTTCATGGACTTGTTTTAATTTTCTTCAACTTCAGCCTTAACTTACATATGAGCAGTTGGTGGTCTATTCTATAGTTAGCTTTTGGCCTTATTTTAGATAATGTTACTGAGCTTCTTCATCATTTCTTCCCACTGATATAGTCAGTTTGACTCCTGTGTATTCCATCTGGTGAGGAATACATGTATAGTTGCCATTTATGTTGTTGAAAAAAGCTATTTTTGACCTACACCTATGAATGCAGTAGCTCAAAAAAGGAAGCAAACCGTTGCTGCAAGAACTATTCCCACCCCCTTCACACAAAGGGTACACAGGGATGGGCAACTTGGACATTGGCTACCCAAAATGAGGGGAGGGATACAAGGCAAGAAGTGACTGGCTTACAAGCTTTCAAGAGGGAACCTAGATCCAAAGGGCGTGGAGGAAGGTAGAGTCTCCAGTGAGTGGTGTCCAGCCTGTCCAGGAAGGGCTGATGAAATGAAACACAGATGGGTCTCTTGTGATGCAATGGTGAATAATTGTTATCAGGACTGATTGTGAGGGTTGGAAATCTAAAGATGGGCATTTTGTAGCAAAGAGGGGAGTGATTAACTTATCAGTCTAGGAGCGGAGGACCCTGGGACCATCGATGGAGAAGAGCGAAGAGCGGAGTCCTACCCAGAGAGGCAGTGAAGCCTGAGATGGAGGCAGAGAAGACGACGTCAAGAGATGATGTGGCTGGGAACTCAGGATCAAGAGATGGAAAGGGGTTGAGGACTGTGGTAGGGGGCCGGTGCAGGCTTACAGGGTACACCCCTTGGCTGGGTGAGGATGCATAGACAGGATGGCAACTATGCCAGTGAAATGATGGATGATGGAATGAATGTAAAGCTGATGTTCTCCCATGTAGACTGTCACACAATTCACAATAAAACATTCAAAAAAAAAAAAAAAAGCTATTTTCAATAAGTTACTCGTCTTGCAAAACTCTATTGTGCGATTCCCAGCATTGTTTCTGTCACCAACATCATATTTTCGAACTACCAATCCTTTTTATTTTTAACTTTGGCATTCCAATCACCTATAATTATCAGTGTATCTTGATTGCATGTTTGATCAATTTTAGCCTGTAGAAGTTGGTAGAATTCTTCAGTTTCCCTAACTGGTTTTAGTAGTTGGTGCATTTGAATAATAGTCGTATTAACTAGTCTTCCTTGTAGACATAAGGATATTATCGTATCATAAGACAGCATTGTACTTCAAGATAGATCTTGAAATGTTCTTTCTGACAATGAATGTGACCAAAATTCCTCTTCAATTTATTATTCCCACCATAATAAGTCATGTAATTGTTTGATTCAAAATGGCCAATACTAGTCCTGTCAGCTCAGTAATACTTAGGATATAGATCTTTATGTGTTGCATTTCATGTTGACTAAAAGCCAACCTCCTAGATTACAAAAAAATGCCCACCCGAAGAAAAACCATCCAGTAGAGTAAATGTCTAAAATAATTTAAATGACCCTGAAGGCATCTTTACCTTTGCTTATGCAGTTTCTCCTATTTGGGTATACACCTTCCCTCGGCCTCGTTACCCAAAGATTGCTGGAGTATTTTTCTTTTTTAAAAATGAAGTAATACAAGTACATAAGTTAATGAGTCAAATAATTTTACAAAGCTTATAATAAAAACAGAATTTCCTTGCCCCATTCCCTTCATATCCCGATTACCACTTCTCAGGAAAAGCAAATTTTAATTTTTAGTTGTGTTTCTAATATGCTTTCACATTTCTAAATAACATTCTTATACCGCTCTTTCTTGATTTCTTAATTGTAGATATTATCTCTTGCCACCACCCCACTAAGAGGATTTGTCTCATAATACATGTATCATAAACTGCTCCCTCATCTTCTCAAAATAATATATAATGACAATATAAATATGATCTGTAGCAAAGTCATATTTAAAACAAAACAAAACAGGCTGCCATTAGATGAGACTTTGTGTGTCAGAGTAGAACTTTCCTCCAAAGGGTTTTCAGTGGCTGATTTTTAAGAACCGGACTTCTAAGCCTTTTTTTCATGGTATCCCTTGGCAAACTCAAACCTCCAACTTTTCAGCTAGCAGCCAAGAACATTAACCATTTGTATCACCGAGGAATTCCAAACATAGGAGGCTTTCAATAAAAGTTTGTTGGACTGCTAATTTGAGCTCAGGATTCAAACCTTAATCTATCTTGTTTATAAGCACAGACACACAGCCAGGTATCAAGGTGGTCTCTGCTTTAAGGAAGAATGGGAAAGAAAAATAAGCCAGTTCTATTAACTCTAGCAGAGTCCTGGTGTGGCGCCATAGGATAAGCACTCAACCTCAAGGTCAGTTTGAACCACAAGTGCTGTATTCAAACTCAGCAGCTGCTTCTCACAAATCAAGATCGCTATGAATCGGAACCGACTTGATGGTACTTAACAACAACAACAATAAAACTCTAGCCAATCTATTTTTTTATAATGAGAAGAGCTGATACTTTGGAAACTGTCTCTATCAGTTAAAAATGGAAGAAAATAATGAACTTAAACATTAAGGCTTACACATACATCAAAGGAGACATATCAAGAATGTGTGGTTTTATTTTCCAGGGGCCTTGTGGGTTTGCATCATTTTAAATCCACACTGCAAACTGGAGGAAAAATCCTGTTGGCTGCTGCAACTGCAGAAGTGGAGCGACCTTGATGTCTGTCCCCTGGAGGATGGGAACTATGGACACGAGCTGCCCAACATCACCAATGCACTTCCCCAGAGTGCCAATCACAGTCCAGGTGAGCCAGGTATCCTTTTAAGCTTTTTGTGCCTGGAAATACAAAAGTGGGGGAGGGTAAAGTCCTTAACAGTGGTAGCCAGACAGCTTTTTTGGCAATCAAAATTGTCATCCTAAATAAGAAAAGTCTCTTCCCATGTTCATCTTGAAATGCCAACCCTTAAAAATCTTTGACACTGGCAATGCTATCCTTTCCCACATCTAGCATGCCCTTAGATTGCCCAGCATGAAGTCCAACAGCCCTCTACATATATCTCCTCTACCCTTCAAGTGCTTCATGTATAATGTAACTTGGCCTCAGCTGGAATTGGTTTTATCTCAGAAAACCTACCTCAAGAGAGGGACAGAATTCCAGTTTGTTTGTTTGTTTGTTTGTTTGTTTTTAAAGCTTTAAAATGTGTCCAAACAATAGTTTTGTTTTGTTTTTTATACTGGATATCTTAACCATTTTCCTCAAATTTTTGTATAGCAGCTATCTTGGAGAGTGATGTGCTCTCAAGTTACTGTCAGGATTCCTGCACCAGGAGACATAACTTTTTAAGACAAAACCAATACATGATATTATACCCTCTGCCTTTTGAGCCCACTGACCTACCGACATCACTGGGCCTTGTTTAGTTAAGTGCTAGTTCATGTAATTCAGGGTTTTTTATGCTGACAACTAATTATTCTTTAGCCCACTGGGATCCTTTCACTGGTAGGAGATTTTACCTGAGACTGATTTTATATTTGGTTCCTTTTCTTTCATGTACTGAATCTACTGGTATTCTTATTTTAAAGAGGAAATCTCTTAAATCTTTTGTTGGGTCTTCATCTACTGTGCCATAATTGATACCAGTATATTTAAGGCAACTAAGGTCCTGGTGTGGCACTATGGGTTAATGCACCAGACTGTAAAGCCGTTTGAACTGCAAGGTTGGTCGGCAGTTCAAGCTCACCAGCTACTCCTTGGACACCCTATACAGGGTCACAATCAACTCAATGGCACTAAACAACAACAGCAACAAGGTCCTGCTGTGGTGCTGCAGGTTAATGCATTGGACTGCAAAGCTAGTTTGAACCACAAGATCAGCGGTTCAAGCTCACCATCCGCTCCTCGGAAACCCTATACAGGGTTGCTATGGTCGGAACCGACTCAGTGGCACTTAAAAACAACAGCAAGGTAACAAGAAATAAAAAGGGCAGTTTTGCAAATTTTTTAAGTTTCCCTTTTCCTGGAACTAATCTAAGCCTCCACAATACCAGAAACCATCCTTTTAGTGCTGACTTTGGATGGCATAGAAAAGGTTAAATGTATACAAACAGATGCCCCTGGGTCAGATGTCACTTCCTTCCTTCTCATAATATATTGGTTCTTTGTTGTTATGGTTCTCCTTTGAGGACACTGCTTTCTTTACCTTCTTCTCAAGTTGTGGCTGATTTCTCTCTCACACCCTTATACCATTAGGCCTTAAAGAGCAAAAGGGCATCCTGTTTATTTTTCACTGCTACTTCTACATCATTGGCCTTCCCTTCTCCCTAAAATTTCCCCTTTGAAGTCCATGCCATCCAGCTGTAGACCTTTGTGTCACTCTCCTTCATTCCTCGAAGATTGGCTTACGAGCACTACTTTATGTCAGTAATTTTATCGTAATTCTTGATCATTTCAGTAGCCACAAAGATGAATCCTTCCAGTATCCTGACCTCTCAGTTTCTTTCTTTCTTTTTTTTTTTTAATGTTTTATTGTGAATTATGTGATAGTTTACATGGGAGAACATCAGTCTTACATTCATTCTATCGTATATCATCTCATTGCCATGGTTACAATCCCCTCCATGCAATCCTTCCCCCAT